TGGTGTCTTCAGAAATGGTGACTACCCTGGACCAAGGATCCTGCTTGGGGACTGATGAATCTGAGGCTCACCCAGGAGGCCTGGAGCACCATTCCCTCCAAAGCTAAGGTGCATGACTCTGGTGGGTTCCGGAACAGTCTTCATGAGCCCCATGGTGAGGGAGGGGACCTTCTTTGAGGACCCGCGGCAGTGTCTCTGTCCACTCAGAAGGAGGAAGAGGCCTCTGCCCTTCCTGCTGCAGTCTTACAGCATGTCCAGGAGCTCACACCCTACATGAGTTAAATGACAGTGCTGCCCCCTGCAGGCGGGAATGACCTTCCTGGATTGGCTAATGAGGAGGAGGATGACTTGTTCCGTGAAGAAGAATGAACAAATTAACCACAAATTTAGGATTTTTTCTTCTAATTATGGGAAATCAATTATCTGGCCAAACCTTTGCTGATCTTGCCTATCAGCTCACTTATCAGATCAAAGTTTACTATCAGGACCTGTTTCTAGACCTTCCCCTCTGTGCCCTCAATCTTGTGCTGCTATGTCCCAGTCTGGCCCATTTCTCCATATTTCTTTCCTTGAAAGACCTCTCTCACACTGGTCCATGCTGACCCTCATTCCTGTCGACAGCCTCTAACCACCTTCTGAGACCCCACACAGAACCCATCAGAGGTCTCCCTTAATATCCACACACAAGAACTGCTGGATTTCTAGGTTGCTGCCAACTATATAAAAGGAATCTGGTGGAGCATGATTGAATCGCTCAGCTATTAACAGAAATGTCAACAGTTCAAACCGACCAGTCTCTCCAATTGAGAAAGATGTGGCAGTCCCCCTCCAGAAAGATTTCCAGTCTTGGAAACCCTGTGGGACAGTTCTACTCTGTCCTATGATGCTATGAATAGGAATCAATAGAAGACAGTCAGTTTGGTGACGATGGGGGACTGTAGGGAGCGGGAGGTGGTAGTTCAGAATGACCTCCATTTCCAGTGGAAGATGCTGAGATCTGGATGTGCAGGAAGTTGTTCCTTTCTGTGGAAAGTGTAAAGGTCATGGTAGGATTAGAAAGTTCTACTGCCTGGTGAAAGTCTCTCCTGCACAGTGTGATGTTGGGGCAGGGGTGTGAAGGCCCGGCTGGGAGGGCAGGTTTCTGTCTCACTTCCCCGTCTGCTTGTGTCACTGTGAGCTTTAGCACTGCTGTCCCACACCTGACAGTAATAGTCAGCTTCGTCCTCAGCCTGGGCTCTGCTGATGGTCAGGGTGGCCGTGTTCCCAGAGTTGGCACCAGAGAATCGGTCAGGGATCCCCGAGGGCCGGTTGCTGTCCCTGTAGATGACCAGCACAGGTGCCTGGCCTGGCTTCTGCTGATACCAGGAGGTATATTTACCTCCAATGTTGTTTCCCCCACAAGTGATTCTGGCCGTCTGTCCCAGGGCCACTGACACTGAGTGTGGCTGAGTCAGTTCATAAGAGACCACAAGGCCTGTAGGAGAGAGAAGGAGAGATGTGTTTGAAGGTGGGAGGCTCAATGCCAGTAGACCCCTTCTCCCCTGAGCTCCAGGGAATCTGTATGCCTACAGGGCCCCCTCCTGTCAGTCTATGCCATATGGTTCCAGGGGCTTGTCTGGAGGCTGGAGCCCTGAATGAAAGTTAACCCCTTCCACAGAACACAGGCCGTGTCTACAGGGCTTTAGACCCACAAGCACAGCTGCCACCATGTAGGTCAGGCCCTCCTAGAACCCAGAGCTGTGAGAGGATACAGTTGGGGACCTCACCTGTGCAGTGAGCAAGGAGGGTGAGGAAGAGTGGGGTCCAGTTCATGGTGGTGCTCAGCGACCTGCTTCCGTAGACTCCCCTGGGCATGGTCTCCCTGGGCCTCTATTATTCCCTTTTTGAAGAGGCTGTGGTTATGCAAATCAGTAGAGCTTAGAGCTGCCCTGGAGGGACCTCCTGGTTCCCGAGAAGGCTCAGCCCCAGGGACACAGAGAGGGATGGCATCCCCTGCATGCTACCCTCAGCCTCTGGGCTTCCTTTGTGCCAGGCTACTGGTTCACAGGTCAACACCTCCATGTCCAACCTGCATTCTGACCTCATTCTTTGGCAGTGTGATGACCACAGTTTCCAGAGGCAACATCTCCCCTAGTTTTAGAGGACTCAGGTCCATGCTCAAGGGATGATGCTTGGACATGTCTACAGGGGCTCAGAGAATCACAGTGAGGTTGCTGAGGTAATTTGGAACCCCAGGCTCTTTCTCTGCCCATCTTGGCTCTGAAGGGAGGCAGTTCATTTTTGCCTATGAGTGGAGATGTCCTGTCCATGACCATTTGTGGAGATGTCAGATGCTGAATATAGTTCAAGACCCAACCTTGGAAGCATTCAATAGAAAGTCTTCTCTGACATTGAAGACCTATTGCTCCCCTTCCTCACTCCACCTCACAGGTGACAACGGGAGCTGAAGAAGTGCAGGGTCCCACCTAGAGCAGAGCCTTGAAGTGTAGAGCTCCATGCACATGGGGAGAGTGCAAGGACCGTTGAGAAGTTCTCAGTCTCTGCTCTGGATTGTGAGTCCTGCACAGGTGTTTTGCCTCAGTGTCCCCAGGGTGCAGTCAGGGCTGGGGACAGATGGGGAGTTGAAAGGCAGGCTTGTTGGAGAGGAGAGCCAGCTGCAGACTCCAAGCCACTTCCTGTGATTTTTGGGTTGTAATGCAGATGACCTCAGGTGCCAGGAAATATGCATATCACAAAATCTTTAATTAATGAATGAAGCAGAATTTATCAAGATATTACTGTGTGCTCTGGTGGGTGGTGGTGAATACATCTATAAAGGTTTAGATCCTTCAAAGCTGAATGGGGCAGTCCTTATGTGGCTCTTCGGTTACTATGAGTCGAAATCAAGTCAATGACCATGGATTTGCATTGGGTTTTGCTTTCATAATGACTGACAGTCTTAGAAATTTTATAGGGTTAGTTCCACTCTGTCCTCTATGGGTGCCCAATGGCAGTGGGTTTGCTATGAGTCAAAATCCACTCGATTGCAGTGGGTTTGGTTTGGGCTTGGCTTCTGTAAAATTGCCAGCCTTGGAAACCCTGTAGAGCAGTTCTACTCTGTCTCCAGGGGCCTATGGGTCAGAATGGACTCGATGGCAGTGGGTTTCCTTTCTCCTACACACTGGGAAGCAGGAAAAACCAACTATGTCACTTGTCCTCTAAAGAAAGATCTTCTGAAATTTGGGATATGGACATGGGAGGAGCTCCCAGAGACCATGGGAGCAGCTGTGTAGCAGGACATGCATATCCTCAGTGCAGAGTGGTAGGACAGAGACCTAAGATCCCTGGAGGGGCTGACATTTTCTAACTGTGGCAGAGCTTGTCCATCAATTCAACACGATGTGATGTGGGATCCTTGTTCCAAAACTACATGAAAATTAAGCCATTCCCCCTCTAAGACATTTGCTTCCTGGTGAGAATAGTCCTTAGGCCTGTCATCAACAAGAAGACATCTCTCATGTCCCCATCATCCATGTGGTCATTTTTCCCACAAATATCAATGAGTTTGGACACACCTAATCCTATGACTATTGGAGCTCACAGTCACTAGCCTGTGTAGTCCTCCTACACCCCTGTGAGTGGTGTGGCTGTTCCCAGTGGGCAGAGCGGGAAGCTAAATTCAGGAAGGTTGGAAACAAATGCAGTGGGTACAAATGACCCAGTGGGAAAAGCACCCAGGATCCCAGATTCCAAGCTAACATGGTTTTGAGCACAACCTGGGGGGCAGGGAGGTACTAGGGTGGGCATGTTAGGCCTGGCTGGGTTTGGGGATCCCAACCCCAACAGCCTGGGTCCCCGTGATCTGATTTCCCATTATAATCAGCAATTATTAGGGACCCTGAAAGGTGTGGATATCACTACAAATAACCAGCCTGTGCTCTTTTCCACAGGATGATGTCATCTTAAGGCCAAGAAGCAGCAAAGGCGGGGGTGGCCTTTTGTACTTAAGGCCAAGGCTTTAATCCCTGGAGGTACCATCCGCTGTAACCACCCCCAGAAGGAGTAGGTGCTGATGGAGGTGGATCCAGAATAGCCAACATGGACCCCCTCTAGAGGGACATGACGAGGGAGGGGAGTGCTTGTTGAATTCTAATGTCCAGTCTCACAGAAGGAGGAAGAGGCCTCTGCCCTTCAGGATGCAGTCTCAAGATTGTTCCGAAGGAGATGAGTCCAGGGACCATTTTCAGCAAGGTGCTGACACGTCAACATGAACTTCATGGCCACACTGCCCCCTGCCGTGGAGTGGCCTATGTGCATGCAATGATAATGAGGTGAATGACTTTTTTCAGGAAGAACAATGGACAAAATAACTACAGGCCTGGCCTGGCTTCTGCTGGGACCAGTGAGCATAGCTCTCAGAGAGGAGTTCTCTGGGGCAGGTGATGAGGGCTGTCTTTCCAGGCCA